TTCACATGGAGGAGAAGGGGATTGGGTCAGGTCACATATGTGGGGCAGGGTCAAATGAGTAAGAGTGGGGCCAGCAGTGGGATCGCAAAGGGAAAGACCAGAAGCAGGGACACATGTGGAGGGACAGGCAAGGGGAGGGGTCAAGTGGTAGGGGTGGGGCCACAGGGGTGGTGCAGGGGTAGGGTCACATGTGGGGTCCAATGCATTGGGCAGGATCACATGTAGAGGGACAGGGTTTGGTGTCGCATGCAGGAGATGGAGAAGGGGTGGGGCAGGGTCACGTGTGGGAGGCATAGGGCAGAGTCAAGTGCATAGGAATGAGGCAGGGGGTGAGGCCACATGTGGAAGAAGGACAAGGGGCAGGACCACATGTGAAAGAGGGGGAGTGGATGGAGTCACAACCATGGGTGCAGGGCAGGGTCACACATGGGGCCAGGGGGCAAGGCCACACACAGGGGAGGGAGAAGGGGCAAGGCCACATGTGGGGGTAGGATCATGTGTGGGGAGGGACAGGGTTACATGGAGGAGGGGTAGGGCATGGGGTCACATGGAAGAGGGGGATGGCCACAGGGAGGGACAAGTGGCAGGGCCACATGTGGGGGAGAGACCAAGTGCAAAGAGGTGGGGCAGGGTCACAGGGGAGAGGGCAGTAACATGGGGACAAGGTTACATGGGGAGGGGGCAGGGGATAATGGGGCAGGGTCATACACAGGGAGGGACAAGGGGTGGGGCAGGGGAGAAAATTAAAACACAGACAAAAAAAGAAAAAGAAAAAAGAAAAATAAAGCCAGAACAGAAATAAAATATGCCCTGGGGGGTGGGGGCAGCAGCTCCTGGGGCAAAAAGAAAACCCAGGCATCCAGGCCCCTTGCTCCAACCCCTCCAGGCCCTGCTCCCCACACAGACCTGCGAGCCTGCCCCCTAAATGGAGGACTCCTTACCCCCCCACCCCCTCTGCAATGGTTGGTTCTGGCACACTGATATGACACCCCCCCAATGGTATGCCCCACCTGGCCACTGGCAGCTGTCCAGAGAACCCAGCCAATCACTACCCAGCTCCACCTCCAATGACCACCCCTCCCCCCACAAGGGAACCAGCTTAAAGGGGCAGCCACTTTCCCAGACTGACAAAGTGGTGGCCAGGAGCATTTTAGAGGCATAACCACATAAACGTAAACCCTTAAGAGGGCAGCCAAAGCTCCAGGCAGTCTTAAAGGAGTGGCTGAGGTCCCCTTTAAAGGCACAGAGACCATTACAGGCCTTCCCTTTAAGGGCTGCATGCCTTTAAGGGGTGGCCCATATAGGGACATTTGTGACCATGGGTGGCTTCACAGAAGGGTGGCTCCACCCAGTGCAGTCTCAAAGGGGCAGCCAGGGGCCCTTTAAAGGCATGGCCATACTAATACAATCCCTGCCTGAAGGGAAGATCATGGCCACACATTATTTTAAAGGGGTGGCCCAGGACCTCAAACCTATGCCTATAAAATGGAGGTCCTTTAAAGGGAAAGCCATAGCCACAGACCACCTTAAAGGGGAACCAGCACGTTTAAAGGGGCAGCCACAGGTCTAAACTGCCTGAGAGAAATGCACCAAAACTTTATAGGACACCCACATTCTTAAAAGGGGCATCCATGGCCATAAATTGCACAAGAAAAGCACACCCACAACCCTAAAAGAGTATTCCCTCTTAAGAGGGTGGCCACAGCCATAAGTTGCCCAACACACACAGCCACAACCTTGAAGACGCACCCACATTCCTAAAGGGGCAACTATGACCATAAACTACCTGACAAAAACAGCCACAGCCTTAAATGAGTGTTCTCATTTTTAAAAGGGCAGCAACATCCCCAGACAACTCCTTTAAAATAATCTCAGCCCAGATTCCACGTCCCCACCGCTCCAACACAGGGATGGCAGGGACCTGGGAAATACAGGCTGGGGAACGCCCCCCACCCGGACACTGGGGTCCTGCAGCAGACCACACCCCCCTCACCACTGTCACTGCTGTTGTTTTCCTCAGTGTTGATCTGGTCGCTGAGGCTCTTCTCAGCCGTCCGGCTGCCCCGCAGCGTCATTGACAGCTGCCTCTTGATCTTCTTCATGCGATCCATGGTGGGGCCGGGACAGGGGCCGCTGAAGGGAGAGATGGGGAGTGTTAAACTGTGCTGGTCTGGGATGCATTCAGCTCTGGGGTGGTACAAATATAAAACTGAAATGGAAGCTCAGGCATGGCCCGGAGGCACCCAACTCTGGGGTGGTACAAGTGGTGGGGAGCAGTCGCATATAACACCAAAAGGGAGGCTCAGTCAGGGGCAGGATGCACCCAGTTCTGGGGTATGGCAGTGGGAAAGGGCAGAGTATAATACTGCAAGGGGAGAACTCACTTAGGGACAGGTGCAGCTGGCTCTGGGGTGGGACAGGTGGACAACAGCTGCATGTAGAAGAGCACCTGGCTCCGCTCTGGGAGGCAAGTGGAGCCTGGCAGGTGAGAGCAGGCCGGGGGGGGCTGGGAGCCTGGATGCCCGAGTTGGGCTTGGGACCCAGATGCCTGGCTTCTCTCCAGCTCTGGGACAGGAGATGCGGGTGAGAGCCCAGTCTGATCTCCTATAAGCCCATGACATACTCCCTACATGCCACACCCCCAAAAATGTAAGCAGGGCTTGAAGGAAGGTCCTGGGTTCAGGCAAGTGGATGGAGCCTCAGCTGGTGAGACGGGGGCAATGGAGGTGGGAGCAGGGACAAGGACTTGTGGGAAAAGCTGTACCTGGGGGAGTTTCTAGGAGATTAGGGGAGAGGCCATAGGGTTGTGGGGGAGAGCGGGCAGAGAGAGGAACTAGTGGGCAGAAATGTGGGGTTGCAGGAATCAGTGGGAGAAGCCTGTGAGTCTGGGCCATGCCTACAGGTCCTCCAGCATCCCATAGTGCTCTGCTCTGCCCCCTTGAGAGACCTCTTCCTACAGCCCTATTATGCCTCCCCCTGGAGCAAGAAGGCAAGGGGGATCAGTAGGGACCGGTCAACATCAAGGACAGCTCCTGCCCTCCTCTCCCATGGGGACGCTGCGGTGTGGGATAGGGGACAGCAGGGCACCAGCCTGGAGGCAAGGGTGTTGGGAACCCAGGTTCTCCTGGAGGGAAGCAGGAGGTGATGGATCTGAGCAGCAAGTTGTGGATGGGGGCTGGACACCTGGGTTCTCTGGAAGGGGAGTGGAGGCTGGGGGTTAGAGCAGAGGGAGCTGGGAGCCCACTCACTTGGTTACTCTGGTGGGGAAGGGGGGCAGAACAGAGACTGGTAGGGTAAAGCATGTGGGTGGGAGAGATGACAGAGCAGCAGCTCCCCACTCCCTCTCTGCCTCCCCAGCACAGCTGCCCATTGTGAGTGGCTGGGAAAGGTCCAACTGCTCTGAGAGAATAAAAGGCCAAGGCTCAGGGTTAGAGCCCAGGGCTCAGGAAGAGGCAGGGTCTTCCCCCTCCAGGGGATGCTGTCCCAGAGGCCTGATATTCAGCAGATCTCCAGCTGCTGTACCCCAGAGTCAGGCACATCCTTGTGCTGGGTCATTCCTGGTCTGTAGCCACCCACTACAGCCCTGTTGTTCCCCTCATGCCTAACCTGCAGCCTCCCCAGCCACCCCTAGCTGCCCATCACTCCCAACCTGCAGGGCCCACTTCTACCCATAACAGACTCATAGATTTATTAATACCTCAGGGAACACATGGTGGGAGGGTAAGGGTTGAGGGGACAACCCACATCTCATAGCTGGGGGGAGGGATCTGGGGATCCCACACAGCCCCGCAGAATGGGGGTGGGGTCCCCAAAAGCCTCCCCCTAGCTAATACAGCTAGTCTAGATGGAGGCGATAAGGTCCCCAGGTGCTGCCTGAAGTGATGGGGAACCCCGTCCCGTCCCCACCTGCAGTCCTTTTCACTGCCCTCCTCATGAGGCAATCCCATACCTGGGGTTTGGGATAAAGAGGGGTCAAGAAGGAACAGAGCAAGAATGGGAGTAACTTACCCACTCCCTGCAGCCAGGCTGCTATCCTCCAGGTCCAGAGGCATGGACCCTTCCCCACACCCAGTGCCAGAGAAGGCAGGACCCCAGAAGCCCCCAGCCAGGTGCTATCTACCCCCCAAACTCCACACAACCTCCCCACACAGATCTGCCATGCAACATTGCCCTCCCCCAGCCCCAAGGTTCCTCCCTCCATTAGCTTGCTGGGCCTGTAGATGAGACCTGGCCTCTTCAGAAATGGGGAGGGAGAGGGGCCCAAACAACAGAGATCCACCCCCCACCCACTTCCTGGGAGAACAGAAAGCTCCCCCATACACTCCTGGGTAACTCCCCCAGGCAACCCTGGATCTCAGAAGGGGTATGTGTGTGTGGAAGAAATCTAGTGACATAGCAAGATCCAGCCAGTCACCACTGCAGGGAATATGGGGGTGGGGGGGGGAAATGGTTCCATCCTTCTGAACTGGATTCCGAAGGGCAGGTGCCAGCCAAGGCCCAGACCAATGGGGAGGGAGAAAGGGGATGCAACCAGGGCTGGGCCACACTGAGTCCCATCAATTCAGGATCCCATAGGCCAGCATGGCTCCATGCAAGGGAGAGGGGAATCCAGGAAAAGGCAAAGCCCAGGCAGGGTGGAGGGGTAAGCATGTGTCAGCGCAGATCCCTGTCCTGGGAAGGAGAGCCACTGGATCCCAGCAGGGAAGGGAGGAAATCCCTTGAGGATCTACTTCAGCTACAGGGATCACCAGGATGAAGAGTGCATCACAACCAGCCAATCCCAGGCACTGAGGGAGATCCCAATTGCAGAGAAAGGACCCCCTAGGCCCTGAGATCATACTGGAGTCCCCAGGGATTAGAAGTCAAGAGGCATTTCCTCACCCAGGGGCTGGGGGGGAGGGAGAATTCTCCAGGGATCAAACATCACAGCAGATTCTCCCCATCTAGGCTCAACAAGGGGCAGGCCCTAAAGACCAGAGGTCACCACCAGCCCAAGAGGAGCGGGGCCACCCAGGGTCAGAGGCCCCCCAAGGAGGAGGGACCCCCAAAGATCAATGTTCACAGCACAGGAAGATGGATCAGAGGTCACAGTGGAGTCAGACCACACCCAGAATATGGGGTCAGGGATCAAAGGTCACGGTGGGCCGGACCCCTCGCGCTTACCCCGGCGGCGGCGGCTGCAGGGGGCTGGGGGGGGGGTGGTTCAACGCGGCTGGTCCCAATAATCCTCAGCCATGGCCCCCGGCTTGGCCGCCCCGAGTTCGGCTCCGCTCAACAGCCCATGGACACCACAAGGAGCGTCCGCACAACTCCTCCCTGCGGGCAGCGAGCGACTAACACCACCCCCCACAACCCTACCACCTCCCACCCGACGACTGCCCAGCACCAGCCCCCGGCCGGGCCTTTCCACCCTGTCCCTGGCGGAACGTACCATTCCGGCCCCCAAGCGGGGGGACACTGCCAGGTTCCCCTACCTGGAACCCCTCCCAAGCATCTCTCTACCCCTTTCCACCGTGTTTTAAAGGGATAGAAACACATTGTCTTCACAGACTAAAGAAGGTATGTTGATATGGTTACTTCGCCTCTAAAAAAGACAGGCAGGAATAATGCGCCCCTTTTGGGGACTTAGTGCGGTCCAAGATGGAAGCGCCCGAGCGCGTCCATTGCTGAGCTCACTGGAGGGGGGGGGTAGCTTTCATTTCCTTGATTCACAGGAGACCTGTCATTAATGACGGGATTATTTCGTCATGATCATGGAAATAAAGGCCTCCTTATGTCTCGGGGCCTTAAACTTGGGCTCCCAGCTCCGAGCCGATTCTGATAATAGTATGTTCCAAACAGTCGCCTCAATGGAACGGCTCCAACGGCCCGCCTCTCCCACCCCGGCGCGGAACCATCGTCACACGCAGGGGAAGTGGGGGGGGAATGAAATGAGCATTTGGCTGCGGGCGCCCTCCGCAGAGGGGCCGAGCCATGACTTCTCGTCATAGCCCCGTCTGTGGGCCACGACACGCCCAATATAGTGCGGGAAATGGGGCGAAACCACAACCGCGGCGGCTCCATTCACTCTCCCTCCCGCAATCTAGAGTAAACTCGCCCGACTACGCTCTTTCCAAGCGAACGGGGTGGGCTATATCGTTACAAGTAGGGGGTGAGTCTCCATATCATTCTAAAAGGCCATAACTCCGAAGGAATTTCGACTGCAACACGTCAGTCAGTTAACCCCACGTAGTAATTAGGGTCTGAGAATTTTTTTACGTCGTTAATAAAGGCTTACAGATGTGAGGGGGCGGGGAGGCCTCCTTTCTTCATGCTAAGAGAGTTAAATGGTTTGGACCACCGAGGGGGCCAAGAGCCGTTAGGCGCTACCACAGAGCAAGCTCCTTGGGGGAGGGATGGAGCTGAACACCTGTATTTCTAACCAGACAACCAAAAATAAAATCTGACGTCATGTTTTGAGAAGGTTAAATAATAAATGCCGTTAAGTAACCAGCAGGGATGGGGGGTGGAAAACACGCCCCCCCCCCCCCCAAAGAGATGGGGAATGGTTTGATTCACAGGCAGGGCCCTGCCATTCTTGGGCGCAACCACGTCCCAAAACGGGGGTAGGAAACCGTAATTAGTAAGCGACATAACTTCGAACTAGAAGGAACAGAACCTGGGAGGAAAGGGAAGAAGGGGAGAGTATGTTTGAGCTCCCGAACCACTGCGAGGCAGAGTGAGAATGGGGGAAGGGAGAGAGGAGGGGAATAGCTCCCTGTCCCCCCTGAAGGGCTGAGTAATGGTTTGGTTCACAGTTAGGACCGGGGAGGATGAGCGGCCCCCCCGGCCCCCCATTGTAGTTCTCATTTGTATCTCCAGCCTAACACCTATCCACCCACCTATTGCTTAGCCTGGGAGGTTTGTACAGCGCCTGGCACCTCTCAGTCCCGGCCTGCGGAGTCTCTACAATACCTGGCACTTCCCAATCCCAGCCTGGAGGGTCTAGAATCTCTAGGTAGCACCTGGCACCCCTTGAACCTGGCTTTGGCAGGGTCTGTACAGCACCTGGAGTCGCCCCGATCCCTGCCTGGATCCCCACAGTGCCTGGCACAGCTACATCTGCCCCTGTGAGAAGAATCCAGGCATCCTGCCCCTGCCTCCTCTAACACTTACCTACAGTTGGCCTCCTCCATGCCTGCTCCGTGGCTATGGATCCCTCTGCTCTTGCTGGCCCTGCCCCAGGGCAGCCCCTGAGCCATCTGCCGCTGGCTGGACCTGGAGCCTGGTTGCTTGCAGGGGACTGGCACAACCTAGGCAGTACCTGCTCCTTCCCCCTGCCCTCCCTGGGGCAGATGGGGAAGAAGCGCCCCCCCACCCAGGGCAGTCTGTTATGGGTAGATGGGCCCAGGGGAAGGGGCCTCGGGTCTAGACAGCACCTTGCACCCCCTGACCAGCCCAGGGTAAGGGGTCTGGGGTCAACTGAGGACCCAGAGCACCCTCTGCTGGAGGAGCAGGGCAGGGAGGGAGGGGGGGGGTGATGTGAAAAGGGAACCTGGAAGTGGGAGCCAGCAGGGTAGAGTGGGGGAAAATGGCTGGGCCCAAAAAGCCCCAGTTCTGAGGGAGCAAGTTGCCAGCACAAATATTCCCTCCCTTCTCCCTCCAGCTCCTGCCAAAGGCACACTGGGCCAAGATGATTTGGGTTGTGTGTGTGTCCTGGGCAACTGGATTCCACCATGTGTATGTCCTCAATGCTGGCAGGGGAAGGGTGATGTAAGCTTATAGATGTGTAGTGAGGCTATTTCAATGTGCTGTAATTACAGCATGTCAGAGTAGACTGTTAGTCGACTCCTGGGTCTTGTGTATCAGCATCCCTGTGCTGAAAAATAGCAGCAGGGACACTTTAATTGAAGCTCATTCGATCACCTTTAAATAAAGCGCCCCCACTGCCATTTTCAGCCCCAGGATACTGATACATGTGATGCTTCAGGTGCTTTAATTACAGTAGCTCTCAAAGCCGCTCTAATTAAAGCCTCCACCCCCCCCGCCATCCCATGTATAAACATCCTGCAGTTCTATGCATGTCTTGGATGCCTGGGTTCTATGCATGTTCTCTGTGCATGTGTGGGTGAATGCAATTCCTGTTTTCTTAGCCAGGGCTGCCTCCCACCCCCTCCTCCCCCACCCTTCCATCCCCACAGTAGCAGTCCCTGCCAGCCCCTAGCTCTGAGTGGGCATCAGGCTGGGTCCCACTGGCACCTAGCTGCTTCCCCACTCAACCTGCAATGCAGCCAGCTCTGGAGTGGGAACAGCCCAGTATAACACAGGGATTCATGTTGCACACTGCTGGAATGGGAGGGGCTGGGAGCCCCAAAGCCTTGGTCCTCTCCAGCTGTGGGGAGTGTAGGAATGCTGGTGGAAGGGGTGGGGGGTTCTCCCCCCCAGGTCCCTGGGCCCAAAAGAACTGAGCTCTTCCCATACCAGGCCACCTGGGCAAAGACCAGAAATCCTCATCACTAGGCCCTGTGGGAGCTGCCAGCTAGGCAATGAGTCTGGACACCTGGATTCAAGAGAAAGCCAAGGAGGCAGCTACCAACTCCTTCAATGCTGGCTGAGGGTATATCCCTTACTAGTCCACTCAGCCCCTAGATTGGGGGATCCATCTAGCACCCAGCACACCCCAATCCCAGCCTGGTGAGTCTGGATCATAGGGCACTGAGCATGGTACATCTGTGGAGGTCTGTACAGTACCCAGCAGGGAACTGTATTTGGCCATGCCCCAGTGCTTCACTTCAGACCTGCCTGCTTCTCAAGGCCTGAGGAAGCCTGCCCTAAGCTGTTGCGTGTGGCTGTTCCCTGGCTGGCCCTGCCCAGCTGACACATCAGCCAGCCCTCAACCTGTGGTGCCACATGTAGCCATTCCCTAGCTAACTAGCCGGAGTGGGGCACGCTGCATGGCAGGAGTGAGCCCTGGCAGGGCAGCACTATATGTGACTGTTTCCCCACTGATGCATCCAGAGCTGGCCCCATCTTGGTGTCCAATAAGCCTTGTTAGGATGGTGTTTGATGTGGCCAGTCCCATACTGCTACACACCCCAAAGCTGGCTGCAGCTCAACAGCCAATGAACGCTCCTAGATACTGATATAGCAGTTTCCTGAATGCTACACCCCAGAGCTGACTGCATCTGTTCACTGTGAGTCCAGTCCAGGTGGTGTTCCATGTTCTTGCTTATGCAGCCAGCTTTTGAGTGGCAGACAAGGGCAATAGGCCCTCCCAACTGCTGCACCTTGGAGCTGGCTGCCCTCATAGGGTCATTATATGTGGCTGTTCCCTAGGTGCTCCACCCGAGCTGGCTGCACTGCAGCAACGAAGTCATGGTAGCATCCACTCAAAGGCAGGACTAACTGGCCCCTTCCTGCCTCCAACTCCCCTTTCTAGTTTCCCCACAGAGAAGCACAGAGCTGTGGCCTACCGACAGCAGAGGGGTGGGAGAAAGCTGTACAGACAGCCAGAAGCACCAAATTGCAAAGCACAGACCCAAAACAAGTGTCAAGTGCAGGGGGTGTAGTTCTTGTTTGACTAACAGCTTAAAAAACACCCTAAATCACATAACAGGAACCCAGCACCAGGACTGGGGGCACCCAGGGGGATTTACTTAACTGACAGCCACCAGTTGCAGGATAGAGTCTCAGCCCAAAGGGTGAGGAAGGCATAGCCAGTGAAGGCAACCAGAGGCACAAGTCACAGGTCAAATATAACACTAGGGCTTAGGAATAACAGGGGGTACCTAGAGTGGTGGGGGTAGATACCTGCATTACTGACAACCAGGAACACTAAATCACAAGTACAGCCCTAGGCCCTGGGGACACAAGGGGTTTGTTGAGGGGCAGGCACATGTTTAACCAATAGTCAGAGGCACCAATCACAGGGGGCCAGGAAGAGACAGGAGCCCCCACTACTAAACATGGCTACAAATTTATTACATACGCGCGTGTTGTTCAAGTACATGTGAAGGGGTGGGTAGAGGGGGTCTGGCCCTGCCATGGGAGAAGGGGCCAGCAAGTGCCCTCCGCCCAGGGCCAAAAAAGGAGGGGCCCTGGCTTAAAAATATAGAGCTCTCTGGGTGGGGGCAGGGCAGCCCCCCACCCCCACTTGGCAAGAGATAAATAGGGGGGGCAGGGGGGTCTGTACAGCAGGGGCAGGGCATGGCATGGCATGGGGGGGGGCAGAAAAAGGGGTTAAGGCCTGATGCCAGCAGGGGTGGGGCCTGCACCCAGCCATGGTGGGTGGGGCCAAGGCCAGGTCCCACCCAGAGGCAAAATGAATGGAAGAGGGCCAGGGCCAGCAGGGCTTCACTCAGCCCAGAGCCATGGTAGGTGGGGCCAGTGTACCCCCAGCCCAAGGCATGGCAAGCAGGGGTGTTGCCACACCCAGCCTTAGGCCACAGTTTGTGGTGCTAAGGCCACACCCCACTCTGAGGCATTATAGGGGGAGAAGGGGGCAGGGCCAAAAGGCCTTGAGCCATGGTAAGAGAGAGGAAGGGCCATGCCCTGCCCTGAG